TTACAGAATATATTCTATTCTATTTTTTTTCAAGTATACTATGTAGCTTCTAAAATATTTATTTTCTGATAAACTTGATATATTCGATCATTTTGATCTTGGCAACTAGTTGAATCGTACTGACCCTATAATAAGGAAAAGTCAGCCCTAGCAGTGGAGTCGTGATCGTTATGTAGGCAGAGTTGCTTCTCTGTCCGTTTCAACTTTTGCGCCAGGAAGGGCCTCCACGATGATTTCCAAACGATATGATTTTCAACGCTTTATATTATTTTGATATTAAGAAATTAGAAATCTTTCATTTTGATTTCAAAATTTACAATAAAAAAGAATGAAATGTACACACACACACACACACACACTCACACACACATGTATGTATATATATGTATATATATATATATATATATATATATATATATATATATATATATATATATATATATGTGTGTGTGTGTGTGTGTGTGTGTGTGTGTGTGTGTGTGTGTGTGTGTGTGTATGTATATATATATATGTATATATATATATATCATCTGATGCATGTTGGTTCGCAATTTTGCTTTCTAGATATTTTTTTCTCTTTTTTCTCTACATTGTGTTTTATTCATTAATATTTCTTAAGACTTTTCGTATCAATATCCAGATATTATCCTTTTATAACGATAATGACATATAGTTACGATAATTCATGGAAGATTTAGAAAATCATATTTCATTTACATAACGAGTTAGAACAATGAAAACCATTTATAGGAACAAAGTATAGAGTGATATAACGTTGCCCTTCCCATCTCCACCCACGTTTTCTATTGTTGTGAAGTGCCATTAAAAAGTTTTGTCATCTCCCCCCCCCAAAAAAAAAAGTCCTCTCGTTATGTTTTTTGTTTGTTATAGAGAGAAATCTATGGTTTCCGTTTGTGAGTGATAAAGGCTACAATACATTCTGCTAAAAGTAGACATATTTTTTTACTGCATTATCAGTTTTGTTCTGTTTTGTTTATTTTACTTATATTCCTCTTTTCTTAAATTCTTTCTCGCAGGACGATAATTCCGCAGCAGAGGCAGTCAGCTACATCACTTTCATCGGCGCTCTCCTCTCCCTCTTCACCCTCATCATCACGATCTTCATCTTCACTTATTTCAGGTGAGTAGATGCGAGAGATGTGATGCAGAGAGATGGAGAGAAAGGGGATAAGAGAGATAGAGAGAAGGGGGGAGGGAGGTCGGGAGGGAGAGAGAGGGGGAAGAAAAGGAGGGAGAGAGAGGGAGAGGGAGTAAGAGAGAGAGAGAGGGGGGGGAGAGAGATAGACAGAGACAGAGAGGAAAGGAGGAAGAGAGAGAAGGGGGAGGAAAGTTGAGCCTCGCCCGGGCTATACCCATGAGGGGAGCCAGGCCTGTGTCGACTAATGCCGACTCGCTAACGTGTGTCAGCTGGTGCTGACTCGGCTGAGCTTAGTCCTTCCCCGCTGTGGTGCCCAGTAATAGTAGTAACCTCCAGGCAACAATTGCAACTTCTCGCGCCTGGGCGGGTTGCGAACCGCCGACCCCTCGAATGAAAGGCCGACACGTCACCACTGTACTAGCCCGGAGGGTTGTGTGAAATAGATAGATAGATAGAGAGGGGGGAGGAGAAAGAGAGAGAGAGAGAGAGAGAGAGAGAGAGTGAGCGAGATAGAGAGAGAGAGAGAGAGAGAGGCATGAGGAGGAAGAGAGAGGGAGGGAGGGAGGGAAGAGGGAACTGAGTGTGAGAGAGTGAGAGCGAGCGAGAGGTAGAGAGAAAGGGGGGAGAGGGAGGGGGAGGAGGAGTTGGGAAGGAAAAGAGAGGGAGAGAGAGAGAGAGAGAGAGAGAGAGAGAGAGAGAGAATGAGAGAGAGAGAGAGAGAGAGAGGCATGAGGAGGAAGAGAGAGAGGGGGGAAGGGGAAGAAAGAGAAAGAGAAAGATAGATAGATAGTTAGATAGATAGATAGAGAGGGGGGGCGTCTAAATATTCTAAACGAATGTGCAGAGCATGAGGACATAAACATTGTATTTTACCAGCCTTTCATAAATAGTGAAAGACACGTTGTTTCAAGATAATTCCTTTTGATGGAAAAGCGGATGAATCAAAAAGGGATTTCACAATTGTATGGCTCTTTCTGTCTCTCACACTTTTCTGCCTTTTTATTAATTCTCCCCATCTTTCTCTCTAGCTGATATATATATATATATATATATATATATATATATATATATATATATATATATATATATATATATATATATATATATATATATATATATATATATATATATATATATATATATATATATATTCATATATATACATATAAATTTGCCTTGCAATCTAACTCTCTCTCTCTCTCTCTCTCTCTCTCTCTCTCTCTCTCTCTCTCTCTCTCTCTCTCTCTCTCTCTCTCTCTCTCTCTCTCTCTCTCTCTCTCTCTCTTCTCTCTCTTCACTTTTTCTCTTTCACAATGGTTCACAATGACAACAAATCTCATG